CGGGAAGGAGGTGTTGGGGAGCGGAGTTGGAGGGGCCATTCAAAAACATGAGGATCCCTGGCAAAAGATCATGGGAGGGAGAACACTGGGGACATAGGGGACACACTGTGATGGGCAGCACTTGAGGTGACCAGGAGGAGAACACACCCAGCCCCTTCTCCCCTTCACATGGGGACCTTGACCTGAGGGAGGCTCTGAAGGTGAGAGGACAACTGCCGAGGAAGTCCCTGACAGCAGTTCTGTCCCCATTTCCTCTGTATGCCAGGGCAAGGCTCCAAGATCCCTGGGTCAGCTGGGACCAAAGGAAGGAAAAGAAGTCAGGCCAACCGCTGGCTGGCTCTTCATTGCAGCCACCAAGTGAATTTCCTTCCCAGGGAGTTAAGAAGGAGGCAGGGCTGCATCAGGTCTCAAAGAGGTGGGGACAAGGCAACGAGAGAGAGGTTTGGGGTCAGAGAAGAGGAGAGCAGTGGGATGGGCAGAGGTGGGCTTCCCCAGCTTGAGGATCATTTCTACTTTCTTGCCATTTGGAAGATCAAGTGACTCTGGGGGACAGATGTGTCACACACACATACACATACATACACACACACACACACATATGGGGGACACCCTTTGGCCTGCAGCTCAAGGACCACCCTTGGCCCTGACCTGACACAGAATGAGGTTCCTGGAGACGACATGAAAATCACAGACAAAGTCAAGGGACTCAGACCTAAGCTAGCCCCTAAAATGGAGGGCAGGTTTCAAGACAGGGCTGCCCCCCCCAGTGCCGCCCCAACACATCCCTGCTCTGTTCTCACCCCTGCAGGCCTTTCAATGCTTGCACTGCCCATCCCCTGCCATCTGTCAGGCTGACTTCTACTTGCCCCTCAAAGCTTGCCCCAGCATTACCTCCTCTGGGGCAGTTCTTCCATGCCACCCTCCAGGCTGAATTCTGGCAGGACTCTGTACTCCTGTGGCCCCAGAAAGCCCCCTCACAGCCCTTACCACACAGTGTCATCATCATCCTGCCCTATGTGTGTGTGTGGCACCCCCCTCAGAATACAAGTTAGGCCCATCCTGTCCCAGCTCACCTCCCCAAACCCCAGGCTGGGTGCCCAGGAAAGCATAGGAGAGAGCGACCAGGGAACTAGCTGCTCCAGCTAGCACTGTTACCCCTGAAGAGCTCAGACGGGACCTCCCTCTCCAGTCAAACAGTCCCTATCTTCCAGGGCCAACGCCAAAGCTGGGGGTGAGATGGAGGCTCCTCAGGGAAAGGTGATCTCACCATCTGGTCCACAAACCAGCAACTAGCCTGAGCTCGAACAGTATTTGTATTGAGGATGGGAAATGGGTAGCAAAGCCCCTCACTAAGGCTGCTGTCTAAGTCCAGGGAGATCAAGGCAGCAAGTAGGAAGCTAGTCTGGAGCTTCATTTTCCTTGAGGCATGCTCACATCCAGGCACATACAAGGTCTCTCTCACACACAAGCACACACAACACTGACACACAGGCCCAGGGTCACACATACACAACAGTCACACACACACAGCAGGCCCAGGGCCTCACACACACAACCTCACACGCAATCTCTGTCTACACCCAGCCTCACGTATACACAGCCTGTCACACACTGCCCATCCAACACATATACAGCCTCACACACTGAGGGTCTCATGTACACACACACAGACATAGAGATGCAAAGCTTCACAAATATATACTTTTACACATGCCACACACAGCACTACACTCACACAGCAACACACACACCTCAAGTCTCTCACACATTCTCAGAATCTCTCCCACAGACAGCATCTCTCTTACACGTACAGCCTCTCTCTCTACTTCTTATATGGGCGCTCTCTCCCACAGTCTCATCCTCACACAAAGTCCATCTCTCAAAACACAAAGAATTTGTCTCTCGCACATTCACACCGAATTTCTCTGACAGAGACTCTCTCACACACTCACAGAATCTCTCTCACAGTCACCGTCTCACCACACACACACACACTCAGAGACTCATTTACACATATTTTTATTCTCACACATGGACTTTCTCTCTCACACATATGAAGAGTCTCACACCCACACAGACTCTCTCTTACACACACAGGTTTTCTCTCTCATACATACAGCTTTTCACACCCACATACAATGTCACACACATACTGGATTCTGATCTAGAATCTAGACTAAAAATTTAAGTCCTGGCCCACCAATTTGAGGAGGCTTGATGCCCCAGGAGGGGGAGGGGTAAACAAAGGTGACAGCAGCAGCAGAGCAAAGATGGAGGGTGGGAGGGAGGGCGGGCAGAAGGCTGGTCCCTGCGCAGATGAGCTGCAGAGAGGCAGCGCAATGCAGCTAGGCCAGCCGGGAGTACGGTGGGAAGCCTGGGTTCTAATCCCGGCTCTGCCCTCAGTTCTTGTGTGCCCTTGGGCAGGTCCCACCCCTTCTGGGCCTCAGCGTCCTCATCTGTCACTTAAGGGGATAGGAAGAGACTACAACCTTTCTGTGGGGCCGCCAGAGAAAGAAGGTGGCACAGATAGTCTGGAGGTATCTTCTAATATGGGTATCTCCATGCCCCCGCTAAATTGTCCAGCTTTTCCCTCAGAGTCTGCTCGTCAGTGAACCTTCACTCGAGAGAATCAAGACTTTTCTGTAAGGTTATATACACCAACAAGACCCCAAACCAAATTAGCTGGTCCATTTGTCCATATTGGGTGAAGGCTACCCATAGCCTAGGAATGTCGGGTGGGAGGAGAGAAACAAGGAAGGGGGCTGGAAGATGACCCCTGCTTCCGGGACAAGGGTCAGAGCCCTAAAGCTGAGCCCAAGGGTGGGGAAGGGGGTGGGAGACCCAACCTCTTGCTAGGAAGTCAGGAGGGAGAGAGGACAATGAGGAAGTTGGGTCTAATCCTTGCTTCTGGGGGGCTAAGGGGCGGGGGAGAAGTGATGCTGTCCAAGGTCAAACGTAGGCTGAATGGGCAGCTGCGCTAACCCAAGCCTTTGCCCAGAATGCCCCTCTCCAACATGTGCTGGTTCAACCTCCCAGTCCCCCTCCTCCCACCCCTCCCCACAGCACAGCCACAACCTCCAGTTACATAATTCTCTGGCTGAGGGGGCCTGTATCAGGAGAGGGCAGGGGAGGGGAATTCTCTGAGAGCCCCAGTCCACTCTGGGGAAGGGAATGGAGCTGATAGACAGCTCAGAGGAGGATGGGGTCCCTGGAGACCTGGGTTTTAGTCCTTCTTGGCTTCTAGCTCCCCGAATGACCTTGGACAGGGTCCTCAGTGGCAAAACCAGGGGCCTGGCTCTCTCCCTATTACCACCCCTCCACACACACACCTCTTCTACAATTCAAGGTATGACTCTGACATATTGCCCCCTCCCTCATATGCTAAAATATGGAGTGTTTTATCCCAGTAACCAATCTACCATGCCTGTGCCTCAATACAGCCTTTCTCTGCCTTGTGGGAGCCTCAGTGCCCCCAAATCCCCTCCCATACTGGTCCTGTGGAGACACTTCTGCTCTCTCCCCAGCCCCACTGCCCACCCTCATGGCTCTCACTCAGGCTCCAGTGGGCAGGAGGGAAGGTATGTGGAGCAGTAAAGGCCAGAAGGGCAGAGGCAGGGGTTTACCTGGTGAGGGGCTGGTGGGGGGCTGGTGGGGGGTGGCTCACACATTGGGGAGGGGCTTTGCTTGAAATCCTAATGGGCTGAGCTCTGCCCTTCCCTCTCATGCCTAAGAGCCTGTTTAGGCCTCTGAGGACAGAGCCCAGCACAGGCCAGGGGTTTCTCTCCTGGAGTAGGGGCTGCTACCAGTGACTCCCTTTGGGCTCAGCTACTAGTAGCCCAGCAGCAAAGGTCCTTAGAGCTCACCAGACCCCCTCCTGCATTTTACAGATGAGAAAACTAATCCAGAGAGGCCATCTGGGGGCCAAGGTCAGCAGCAGGGTGTTCCTTCGCCCCTGTAACAAGGTACTGTCACTAAAGGGGAGTATCCAAGGAAGACACACCCACCTCTCACACATCTCCTTGCAGGTTCCCCCTAAGGGCCCCTCCTTTCCTCTCCACAGGTCTCAAAGTAAGCACAGGCATGAGCCCAGTGGACCCTTCCAACATCCTCCCCTACAGACAAGGAGGAAGGACAGTCTCTGTTCCCAGAAACAGGTCCCAGAGGGATCACCTCCTCCCTGCCCCCCCCCCACATACCCAACATCCCAACTATTGTGTGTCATCCAGTAAATTCTGACTCATAGAAACCCTACAGAACAGAGTAGAACCCCCCATAGGGTATCCTAGGCTAGCAGATCACCAGGTCTTTTCTCCTACTGAGCTGCTGGTGGATTGGAACCTTCGACTTTCAGTTAGCAGTCCAGTACTTAACCATTGCACCACTAGGGCTATCAAGCTATTAATTAGCCATAAAGATCCCCCCTTGACCATCTCCTCAGAACAGCCTGAGGCTGCTCCCTGGGGCAGGTGAGGTCTGTCTGTGTCAGGCCAGGGATCAAGCCCTTCTGTAGCCCTGTCAACTGCAGAACTTTCCCAGCTTTCCTCCCCAACCACAGTCTAGAGGGCAGTTCTTTATCACACCTTCCTAATGTACAAAGTGGCAAAGACACAAATATGCACACACAGGTGCTCATGAACACTCCAACATACACACATGCTCACTCATTTCCACTACATACTTCACCCACCCAAACACACACTACCATACTTACATAAATATGCACAATTTACTCATACGCACAAACACACCCATTCATACTTACTATACAAATTACATTAGGAAATACAGACATAGGCTTTCAGATACATACATAATTGATTGTCACTCTTGAAAAAAGTCACCCTTTCTGTCTTACACACGTGTACACACACACACACACACACACACACACACCTCATTTCGGAACTCCCTGGACGCCAGTTCTGGAATCCACCTCTGCCCGCGGGGAGGGAGAGGATGCTGCTTTCCCATCTCGTTCTTTTGAAGGGGCTGTCACTTACCCGCGCATAGCGGGATGAGTAGGGGTCCTCGAAGAGCGCCCAGATGCGCGGCTGCCAGCGGCGCCAGAAGCCGCCCGTCCGTCCGTCCGGAGAGTCGCTGAGCGCCAGGCGCTTGGTCATCTCCAGCTCGTCCTCGCCGTCGCCCGAGTCTCCGGGGCCGTCGGCGTCCGCGTCGTCAGCGCTGTTGTCCAGGGGCGCGCCGCCGAAGCTGTCGAGCGCCTCCTCGGCGTCGCGGTGCTGGCGGTACGTCATCCAGCAGCAGGGCTCCACGTCGGTCTCGTCGATGCCCCAGAAAGCCAACTCCTCCTCGTAGAGCGGCCCGCACACGTCGGCCGGGCAGTGCAGCTTCCCGGTGCGGTAGTAGTTCAAGATGTGCGCGAATACGCCTGGGTGGCGGTCGAAGAAGAACTCGTCTGCGCGCGGGTCATAGTCGAAGTGGCTGTGGGCGTCGGGCTCCGCCAGCCAGGCGAGCCGCGTGCCGGGCAGCGTGCGCAGCGTCGAGCGGTACGTCTGGTGGCGCGTGCCGCCCACGTTGATCACGATGCGCTCGCTTTCGTCCCCTTGGCCCATTGCGGCGCCCCCTTAGGCATGGCGCGGCCCAGCGACACCCATGGGAGCAGCCGCCAGGGGGAGTCGGCGCCGGGGAGGGGGGCGCGCGGCCTCCTCCCCCCTCCCCCCAGCCGTCGGGGGGAACAGAGGAACTTGGCTCTGGCCACCCCAACGAGTGACCCAAGCCCCTTGGGGTATTTTCTGTCGAATGCCGGTCCAGAGGAGGATGCAAGGGATCCGAAGGGTCTCCAGGCGCCAGATGTGGAAGGGAGCTGGTCCGGCTGCGGAGGTGGCAGAGGAGGGAGAAAGGGACGAAAGAAGGGAGGGGGGCGGTGCTCAGCGGCGAGCCCCGGGAGGAGGAGGGGAGGGGTGGGGGGGCCGGGCTCCCGTCCCCATCTCAGCGGGAAAATGAAGAAATCGACACAAAGATTTTAGGGGGAGAGTCAGCTGCTCTCGGTGCTAGACAGATAGACCAGCCCCTGGCAGGGGGAGGGGAAGAGAAGTGGCCGCGGAATCCGCGCTTCACTGTGCGGTGGTCGCCTCAGCGTGCTCTCGGCGCAGGGGAGATGGATGCCAGCTGCCTTCCTCCCTGCGTGGCCGGGCTGCAGCTCCGTGCGCGGGGCGGGCTCCGGCCCCCTCCCTCTCTCCTTGCCTGGCCGCCTGCTTCCCCCGGCGGCGGGCGCGCCCGCCCGCCCTCCGCGCTCCTTCTCCCCGCCTCCCAAAGGAGATGGCGGGCCCCCTGGGCAGGGGCGCCCGGGGCGCCGTTCGGTGTGGCAGCCGCTGCGCGCTGAGCTCGGTGCTCTCCGGCTCGAGCTGGGGCTCCTCTGGGCTGCGCTCCGACTCCGGCTCCGGCCGCAGTGCTGAAGGGACAGCTCCTGGACTGGGGTTTTCCGAGCTGAGTTCGATCTAAGGCGTCGGCGAGCACTGGCTCCGGTGCCTCTGCACCCGGCGCTCCGCGCCCGGCTTTGGGCAGGCGGTTGGCGCTGCCCGCCGAGGCTAGGGGCTGCGGCGGTCGGGCCCGAGAGGCGGGGGTGGGGGGTCGGGGTACGGCGAGGCGAGGCCGGCGAGGCGGGGAAGACGAGGCGCGGAGCGGCTGCCGCTGCCGCGACGCTGCTGGCGGCTGGGCTGTTGCTCGGCTCGCTTGCTGGCTTGCTGTCTCGCACGGTCCGCGTCTAGCCCGCCGCTCTCCGGACACCGGCACACGGCGCGCGCAGCCGCACTCGCCCCCAAAGGGAGGTGCCGCGCTGGGTCCTAAAAAGCCCTGATTCTGCGCCCCCCTCCCAGCCCCGCGCGGAGCTGGGCCTCCCTCAACCCCGGCGCTGGGGGCGCCAGCCTGGCACCGCTTTTGCTGCTGCCCGGGGACCCGCCGACGCTCCGCCCTCAAGGAGTGCCACTCATGGCGAGGTCTCCGAGAGACGTCTGGGCCCATGCCCTCGAGCTAGACTGAGGTGAAAAGGGCGTTGGCACCGGCAAGGCACCCGTCCCTCTTCTTCCAAACCAGGGACTGTCTGATCTGCTGGTGAGACGAGACGCCCCCAGCTGCCGTCAGAGACACCTTGACCCCGACCAATACTGACCTACTGACCACTTTAGTAAACCTTTTAATACCAACACTTTCCACCAAACCTGGAGCTCCCATGACCTTTCCTTATAGATCCTCTTACATGAACTCCCAAATAATACCCCGCACACTTTGACCTCTAAGCCTTCCACTAACTACCCAGTAGTCCTGGACCCCTGTTAGCCCCTTTTGACCCCTTATTGACAAAGGGCCCTTCACAACTTCCAACTGACCCTAGTCTTCCATAGTCTCTCACAGTGCTTCACACAACCCTGCCACGTTGATCACAGCTCACTGACACCCCCCACCCCCAGCAATCCTGGACCCCTAGGTAGGGGTCTTTATGAAAGGGGCATTCTGCTCTCAGAAGTCAGAGAGAGCAACTGCTCCTAGTGTCTCAACATTGCTGCCCTCCACCCCCGCTTCAACTTCCCCTTTGAGCTGATGTTGTGTTTGGGGGCTGGATGGGAGCAGCTGCCTGCTGTGATTCTTACAGCTTCACAGTCGATCCTGGGGGTGGGAGTTGCAGTTGAGGTGTAGATGCCCTAAAACCTTCCTGGGACATGCTTGCTGCCTCCGTTTACCTAGCTGGGCAATCATTGTTTTACTCCTTACTTATTCCAGGCTCTGTTCCAGGAACAGGGGCACAAAAGATGAATCAGATTTAGCCCCTGCCCTCCAGGGGCTCCCATACCATTGGGGAAGTGGGCAGGTGGGCCTTGGCAAGCCTGGGGAGGTCAGGCTCAGCTACAGGGATGGTTGTGCTGGAAGAAAGGCTTATTGATCCCAGCCCAGCCCAATCGAACGCAAGCTGCCTGGGCAAAGGGCAATTTAATTAAGAAGACATAAGTATCTTATTTACCTGTCGGCGCTTGCTAACTGTGCTGACAGCTGTCCATCTACACAGACCTATAGACACCATTGGGGGCCTGGAGACAGAGCTGTGCCACAGACATCTCTCTCCTCACTAGGCCAGGGAAATCCCAACCCAAACCCAGGGAAATCTGTGTGTGGTGGGGGAAAGGCTTGGCAGGTTGGAGAGCTACGGGGAGGCGCAAGACACAGGGCAAGGGATGAGGGATGGGAGAAAGACAAGGGGAGAGGCAGAAGGAGGCAGAGTTGGGGGCAGAACAGGAGTATAGATGGGCCAAGACAAACTGAGGGCTGGAGTCTGGGGCCAGGATGTCACCTTCTCCATCCCGGGACTGATCTCTATTATTCCTCTAAAAAGGAGCTGTTTTCTTTTCAACGAACCCACCCTAACTCAGAGTAATGCAGGGATAAGAGCACTTTTGAGTGTCCCTCTCACCCCCTAACTGTAAGAAGACCTGTCCTGATCTAGCCCAGCCTGGCCCAAATTCAGATCCCCAGGATGCAATCTCTCAGAAAGATCTACCCAGACCTAAAGATGATGAAACAGAGAAATGGAGAGCCCAGAAGGAAGAGAAAAAGATGGACACACACACAAACACACATACACATACACACACACACATGCATACATACACACAGCCACAGAGATACAGCTAGGAGAAACCAAGATGGGGAGAGGCAAGATAGAGGACTCTCCAAAACTTCCCTTCCTTCCGGCTGGATGCCCAATCTCTCTTCTCTCCCAGGAAGGCTTCTGTGATTCCTGCAGCCCTAGGGGCCTACGGCTCCACTTCTCTCTCCTGCAGGAATACATGGGCTCAGAATATGGCTCCCCAACCATCTTTATAGCTCATCTTATTTCCTTAAAAGGACTATTAGCTCTTCCAGGGCTTCTCCTTGTTTTCATCCTCCCACGGTCCCAGCACACAGTAGTTTCTCACTAATGGTTAGATGATTTGAGAAGGTCCAGGAGAGTGGTTGCGATCCTTGAATCCTAGTGTCTAGGGAGAGTCTGGAGCTGCTAACTGAGGCACAGTCAGGGGAAGGGGTTTGCCCAAGGAATCACAAGGAGTCAGTGCAGAGTCCTTCCCAGGCTAATGTCCCCTAGTGAGTCAGGATGGGGGCTGAAGTGTGAGCCAGGTGGTGGGGAGAAGCAGGTGAAGAAGGAGGAAAGGTGGATAGACAAAAAGAGACAAAAGGCTCCTAGTAGGAGGAAGTCTGTGTGATTAAGAACTCTGGTCAGGCCTGGCCCTGGAGTGTTGCTAGAGAAAGAGAGTCAGGCCAGGGCTGGGGGGAGAGGAAACATGAAAGAGTATCATCGCACCTTAAAATCCCTTAAGAGGCAAGCAGAGACTTGGAGAGAGCAGTCTGCCCAGCAAGAGAGGACAGCTGTCCCCTAGGTGCCCAATGCTGCCCCACTTTAAGATTCTCGCTTTGGTCCCTGACGCCACCCCCCAGTCCACGCCCCACAGAATGTCCCCCACTTCTAAGCAGGGACATAACAGTCCCTTCTCTCACTCCCCCTTCACACTGCTAGAAGGCTGGCATTTTCAGAAAGCCCAGAAAAAACCAAAAGGGCAACACAGAAATAAAAAGCCCCAGAGAAACAGGGATGGGAGGAGGGTTGCTGACAGAGCCCTAGCTTCTCACCCACAGCCACTAGCCACAGACCCAGCCCAGCTGAGGACCTTACCCCTTTTCCACTTTTGAGCAGGCCCCCCTATTCATAACCACTTGGCCATCTCTCATGTAGAGCAAGACTTGTGGTTCCATGCCAGAGGGTCTAGGGCAGCAGTGGCTGATGGGGGTGGGCAGTGAACTGCTGGTGGGGTAGCATTGTTCCGTGGTTAAGAACATGGACTCTAGAACCAGGCTGCCTGGGTTCAACTCCCAGCTGGGCCATTGACTAACTGTGACTTTGAGCAAGTTATTCAACCTCTGTGTGTCTTAGTTTAGGAGCCCTGGTGGTGCAGTGGTTAAGCGCTTGGCTGCTAACCAGAAGGTCAGTGGTTTGAACTCACTAGGTGTCCCATGGGAGAAAGATGTGGCAGTCTGCTTCCATAAGGATTTACAGCCTTGGGAACCCTACGGGGAAGTTCTGCTTTGTCCTATAGGGTCACTATGAGTAGAAATTGACTTGACGGCAGTGGGTTTGGTTTTTGGTTTCATGTCTTATTTTCTTATCTGTTGAATGGGAATAATAATAATCCCTATATCCTTGGTGCAATGGTTAAGCATTTGGCTGCTGTCTGAAAGACTGGCGGTTTGAACCTTCTTAGCCACTTCAAAGGAGAAAGATGGGGCAATCTGCTCCTGTAAAGATTATAGCCTAGAAAACCCTATGGGGTAGTTCTACTCTGTCACATGGGGTCACTATGAGTTGGAATCTACTTGACGGCACCCAGTAAAACAACAACAACATATCCTTAACACCTCAGCCCTGGAACTCCTCTTGTTTCAGCTGGGAAGGGGAGTGCTGGGCTCCGGTGATCTCTGCAGTGGGACTGGCTAGAGGATGAGCTGAGGCTGGGAGTGGAGTAGAAAAAGATGAAGTCCTGAAGCAAGTTTGGCCTGTGTTCTCACACCTGGCACTTCCAGACCTTAGATCTGGTCCTGCTAGGCTCTGGAACTGGCCCAAGTCC